CGGGCCCCTCTCACAGCGGACTGTGTGTATATTAATTAATGTGTCTCGTGACGTTCTTAACAAGCTTGGTGTATAGTGATTTAACCGACCCTCCTTTTGTTGGTTTTTTTTTTGGTTTGTTTTTCTGTTTTTTTTTTTTAACATTCAAGGATTTCCCTTTCCTTTCCCCAGCTCTGCATGCACTGCAATATTTTGGGGTCACTCGCTTTGTTCTCTTTTGTTCCCTTTCCCGTCTGAAGGCAGTGACCCCATTTCCCGCCCCCAAAATCTCTCTTTCTTGCCTCATTGGTGGTTAGACTTTTTCCCCCCATCCCTTTCTTCCTCCTCTCCCCGTTTGTTCCTTGCCCATAAAGTTAAATATATATTTTTAGGGCAAAGGCTGTATCATTGCACTGATATTTGTTGGTTCCTCTCCCCCCTTTTTGAGTTCTTTCTCGGTTTAGCAATGCAAATGCTTCAGGATCTTGTATGTTGGACTTTTTTTTTTCTGTTACAGTTATTTATATAAAAAATAATTTATCAAAAAGGAAAAATTAAAAAAAAAATCTAGTCTGTCTTGGAACTTGTTTACCTTGAAATTACTGGAATCTAAATGTTTGAAAGTGTTGAAGCACAAACATGTATCATCTCTGTATATCTGTTCTTCTGTACTAAAGCACTCGAGTGACTAAATAAATGCGCTCTCCATACCTAGTGCAAACGAGGCAGCGCGGTGCGGCTTGCTTTGGGGCTGCTGGGGCCGGGAGGAGGAAGAGGCTTTGGGAAAATGGTGTCACATGTATCATCTCTGTATATCTGTTCTTCTGTACTAAAGCACTCGAGTGACTAAATAAATGCGCTCTCCATACCTAGTGCAAACGAGGCAGCGCGGTGCGGCTTGCTTTGGGGCTGCTGGGGCCGGGAGGAGGAAGAGGCTTTGGGAAATTGGTGTCGCCAGGCACCCGCATGTCCCCAAGGGCCACCGAGGAGCGGGGGGGTCCCAGCGTGGCGCTGCGCCAGCCCGAAGCGCCAGGACGCCCGGCTTCGCTCCCCAGCCCAGCCTTGACCTGCCCCACGTTGGCCAAGGAGCAGTGGTGATTCCTCTCCCCGTTCCCGTTTCAGGGTGGCACGTGGCTATTCCCGGGGGCAACCGCTGGCGAAGCCCGTGCCCGT